AAGTCAAATTTAAAAAAAATAGCTGGAGAATCCTCTACTATTTGTAAACTAAATAATAGGCTTCAATATAACCCATGGGTCATAGAAGAAATAAAAAAGGAAATTTGGCAGTGTTTTGAACTGATGAAAAGGAAAACACCAACATTTGTGAAATGCAGCTAAAGAGGAAAATTTAAAATTAGACAAAACTTTATAGCATTAAATTGTAATACTTGAAAAGAAAGATCTCAGATCAACAACATCAACCTTTAAGAAAGCAGGAAAAACAGAACAAATGAAACCCCAAATAGATAAAATAAAGAGTATGTAAAGATTAGAGCAGAAATTAATTAAACATTCAAAAGGCAATACATAAAAAACAATGTGACCAAAAGATATTTTCAGCCAGACTGGTGGGGCGGGGGATGGGGGGGGGAAGAGAGAAGATCCGAAACTGGAAACGAGAGGGAAGATATCACAATTGTTCCTACAGAGATTAGGAAAATTTAAGAGAATAGAGTGAGCAGCTGAATCCCCATAAATTTGTCAACTTAGCTGAAATGAACAAATTAATTGACAGACACAAATTGTTACAGTTCATTAAAAAAGAAATAGCTAAACTGACTAGTCTTACATTTATTAAAGAAATTGAATTGGCAGTTTGAAGTCTTTTAACAACAACAACAACAAAACAAAAATCCAATCTACTGCAGGCACATGTGGCTTCACTTGTGCTAGTTTTTTAAAAATGAGCACCAAAGCTAAGCATATTTTTCTAGAAAATAGAAGACATCTCAACTTATTTTATGACTCCAGCATATCAAAACCAGACAAATACATTACACAAAAATAAAATTAGAGACTAATACTTCTCATAGAAATAGACATAAAAATTCTCAACAAAATTTTAGCAAATCAAATCTCATAATATGCAGAGAGGATATTGGTCATAATAATCATTTCTTATATTATGACATCATGGCCAAGTGGGATTTTCCTCAGGAATGGAAAGTTGCCTTAACATTAAAAAAGTAATGTAATTCACCATATTAACAGATTTAAAAAAAAATACCATATCATCATCTCAATAGATGCAGTAAAAACATTTGACAAAAATCACTTTTCTTTTTTTTAAGACAGGGTTTTGTTCTGTTGCCCAGGCTGAAGTGTAGTGGTGCAGTCATATCTCACTGCAACCTCAGACTCTGGGGCTCAAGTGGGCCTCCCATCTCAGCCTCCCAAGTAGGTGGGACTACAGCTGCGCCACCACACCTGGCTTTTTTTTTTTTTTTTCTATTTTTTAGTAGAGACAAGGTCTTGCTGTGTTGCCCAGGTTGGTCTTGAACTTCTGGGCTCAAGCGATCCTCCCTCCTCAGCCTCCCAAAATGTTCAGATTACAGGTGTGAACCACCACATCCAAGCAAAGTCCACTTCTAAAAATAATTCTCAGCAAACTGAAAATAGAAAGGAATATCTTCAACCCGATAAAAAGCATTTACAAAGAACCATTAGGCAAGCATTTACAAAGAACCTACAAACATATTATGATGCCTATAGTATGAACCGATAGGCATCATACTCAATGGTGAAAAACTGAATATTTTCTAAGATCAGGAACAATACAATGTAAATGGTCTAAACAGCTCCATTTAAAAGGCGGATATTTTCAAATTTCTTAAAAAAGCAAGTCCCAACTGTGTCTCTGAAAGACAAAAGTGTCTGCTTTCACTCCTTCTACTTAGCATTGTGTATGAGGTAATAGGCAGATTTAACACGAAGAAGTAACACTGTCTTTATTTGGCCACAACATGATCAACTATGCCAAACATTTTGAGAAATTAAAAAATACTAGACTTAATAAGTTCAGCAAGTATTTAAGATACAATGTTAATGAAAAATTAATTACATTTCTATGTATACTGCAACAAATAATTGGGAATGGAAAATTAAAAATAAAATTTACATGAGCATAAAGATATGATATACTTTTATGATATACTCAAATACATTTGCCAACAGATATGCAAGACCTGTACTTTATAAATATTGCTGAGAGAAAGTAAAAAAATGAATAAGAGATATACCATGTTCATAAATTGGAAGATGTAATACTATTAAGACATCAACTATCCTCAAATAATCTATAAATTCAATGCAGTCCAAATTAAATTTTGCAAGCTTTTTTAAAAAAAGAAATTTGCAAGTTGATTCTAAAATTTTTGTAAAAATACAAAGAAACTACAATCGCCTAAACAACTTTTATAAACAATAAGTTTGAAAGATTTACACTATGTGATTTTAAGCCTTATTCTAATGCAATAGTAATCAAAGTAGTGTGATATTGGCATAAGAATAAACATATAGATCAACAGAAGAGAAGACTCCAGAAATAGACTCACATGGGAAATCGATTTTTGACAAATGTGCCAAGGCAATTCAATAGAAAATACTGATGGAACAATTGGATAACCGTATGCAAAGAAAAGAAACCTGACTATTGCCTCACACAACATCTAAAAGTTAGCTTAAAATGAATCACAGACATCACTGTTAGAGCTATAACTATAAAACTTCTTGACAAAAAAATCCAAAAGAAAATCTTAATGACCTTGGGTTTGGCAAATATTTATTAAACGGGACACAAAAGGCAGAATTAGAAAAGGTAAAACAAGTAAATGGAGTTTTATCAAAATTAAAACCTTGTTATTCAAAGGGTGCTATTATGAAAGTGAGAAAGCAAGACTCAGACATAGAGAAAATATAGACTCAAGACATAGAGAAAATATTTTCAAGACATATATTTAAGAAAAACTTATATTTAGAATAAATAGCCATTGTAATTCCATAATAAAAGGCAATTGTTTATTGGTAAAGATTTGAATGAACACTTCCCAAAGAAAATATGCAGGTGGCAAATACACTCAACATCATTGTTCATTGGATAAATACAAAATAAAACCATAATAAGATACTATAACATGCATGCTAAAATGGCTAAAATCAAAAGGACAGATCATACCATGTATTGGTAGTGATAATGAGCAACTGTAATTCTCATTTACTGCTGTTAGCAATGTAAAATGGTACAAACACTTTGGAAAACAGTTTGGCAGTTCTTAAAAGGTTAAACCTATATCTATCACATAACACATCCATTCCATTTTGGATACTTATTCAATAGAAGTGAGAGATATGTCCCCACAAAGATGTGTGCACAAATATTTATAGTAGCTTTATTTGCAATAGTCCCATGCTGAAAACGACCCCAAAAGTCCACAAACAGGTGAATAGATAAACAAAATGTGCCAAATCCATATCAAGAAGACCATTCAGCAATGAAAGGAATAAGGGATTAATACACGTGACAGCATGGATGAATCTCAAAGGAATTATAGTGAGTGGAAAAAACAGACAAAAGAGAGTACATACATTTGATTTTATCGATATAAAATGGCAGAAAATGCAAACAAATATATAGTGACAGAAAGCATGTCAGTAGTTGGTTGCCTCAGGATGGACTGAAGGATGGGAGAACTGAAGGATAAGAAGGGCTTACAAAGTGGCAGGAGGAAATTTGGGGGGAGATGGAGGTGCTCATTATATTTATTGTGGTGAAGTTTTCCTGAATTTTTACCTATGTAAAAGCTCTTCAAATTGTACACTTAAAATCTGGTGTGTCGTACATCAGTTATACCTCAGAAAGCTGTAAAAAAGAAAGGTAGTATACAAAGCAAGGTATTTGATGGTGTCCTTCACATAGAGTCTTCACACAGTTTCTCATATGATTCATATGCACTTTAGCATAGGGCTCAGTAAGGCTGGGCTCATATGCAAAGGATTGAAAATCAGTGAGAATCATGAAGAGGTTATTCTTTTATCAATATGAACTATTGTTGAATTCAAGTATAGATAAATAAATGGATATACTTCTCCACTGAAGCATACCTGATTCAAATTTGTGCCTAAAATTTGCATGTCATGAAACTTGACACAAATTCTTGAAACTGCAAATTAAAAATTCTCTCATGCCAAGGGTCTACTGCATTAAATTCTGAACACCTCAATCTCAGAGATTGCCGTCTGTAAAAGGAATGTCTGAAGAGTCTGGAAAATTGTGTCATTAAAAAAATTGCTGTTATTTAGCTGGAATAAAGTTTTTTTTTTTTTCTTTTTGGAAAGAAGTTTTCTTTTTTTCTTTCTTTTTTTTTTTTTTTTAAAGATTTAGATCTTTATTGCTTTTTAATGTTCTTTTTTATTGCATTTTAGGTTTTGGGGTACATGTGAAGAACATGCAAGATTGTTGCATAGGTACACACATGGCAGCGTGATTTGCTGTCTTCCTCCCCTTCACCTATATCTGGCATTTCTCGCCATGCTGTCTCTCCCCAACTCCCCACCCCCTATGGAATATTATGCAGCCATCAAAAACGATGAGTTTGTGTCCTTTGTAGGGACATGGATGAACCTGGAAACCATCATTCCCAGCAAACTGACACAAGAACAAAAAATCGAACACCGCATGTTCTCATTCATAGGTGGGTGTTGAACAATGAGAACACATGGACACAGGGAGGGGAACATCACACACTGGAATAAAGTTTTATAGAGTTGTGAACACTCTCTTCAATAGCTAGGAAGAGATAAAATTCTGAGTAGCTTCACAAGTCATAACTAGAACCAGGGAGTTGATGACTAGAAGATGGATTTCAATCCAGAAGTCAACTGCAAAGCTGAATTCATGAGCTCCTCCTCTTCTTTTCCACACACCCATATACCCTCACATACCCTCACATATGCTGCTTTCACACTTATTACATACACTATTGTGTTAACTAGTTTTAAAAATTGTGGAGTTTTTTTTTTTGTTTGTGGCTAAACTATATACTCCATGTTTTTTTTTTTTTTT